GCCGCACCGCCGCCCGCAGCACGCCTTGCACAGGACGGAGTCGCGGATCCAGAGGTTCGGGTCCTCCGCCTGCTGCTCCATCGTAAAGTCCGCGATGCACCGGCAGCTCTCGACGCCGCAGCAGCACGGCCAGTCGAAGCGAGGTGCTGCGGATGTCCGCGCGCGTCGCGTCTTCGGACACGTAGACGGCGTAGCTCCCGCAGCAGAGCGCCGAGTGCGAGAGCTTGGTCGTCGAGTACCAGGCGTCCGGCGCGTAGATCTTGAACTTGATGCGCCGTCGCGCCGCATCGAAATGCGAAGTGTTAAAAGAAAGCAGGCTCGGGTCGCCGTTGCCCGGAAGCCACATGATGCCCCGGAAAGGTGCAGGCACGTCCGTAGTTGGCAGGTGCCACCACTCTGAAGCTTTTAGGCCGTCGCGCTCCTGCGTGTGCTTGTCGTAGTAGCACAGGCAGGAGCCCGACATGGGTGCACAGCTAGGATCTTTCCCCATGAGCAGCCTCCATACTCGTCAACTACTCAGACTGCACCGTCAACGTTGAATCGACCTTGACGCCCATAACTGCGTTGGGCAGCATGGCCGCCGAGGCGCGGGACGAGAACTGGTACGTGGAGACGAAGAAGAAGATCCGGGAGGCCTTCCAGCTCTTCGACAAGGACCGCAAGGGCTGCGTCATCCAGGAGGAGGTGTCGACGATCATGCGCTACCTCGGCGCCTACCCGACGGAGCGCGCCATGGTCAAGGAGATCCTCCCGGACATGATGGTCCGCGGGCCGGCGTCCTCCGGACGGTGTTTCGCGCTGATCGGACGAGCTGGCGTCGCGGGCCGCCCGAGCGCCTTTCGTCGCGCCCGTCCGAAGGCTCGCCGCGCGCCGCGCGCGTCGCGTCCGTCGCTTCGACCGCGCCCGGCCCCCGCAGGAGGACGAGCCGTCGGCGTTCGTCAAGTACGAGAGATTCGAGCCGAAGATGCTCGAGATTTTGGCCGAGGGCGACTGGGAGCCCGACTCCGAGGAGGTGCTGCTCCAGGCCTTCCGGGTCTTCGACGAGGACGGCAAGGGCTACATCGAGGCGAACCGCCTCCGCGAGGCCCTCATCACGAAGGGCACGCCCTTCCGCGAGAAGGAGATCGACGCCTTCCTCTCCGTGGCCAAGGACCTCGAGACGGGCCACATCTACTACGAGGACTACGTCGCGCTCCTCACCGCGGACACCGCGGAGTAGGGTCCTAATCCGCGCGAAGGTAGGCGGCGCGCTTGAGCCGCGGGTCGTCCGGCGACGCGATCGGCGCGTGTTCTGCGGACCACCGCGCGAGGTCCGCCGACGTGAAGCGGAAGTCGTCGACGTGAAGCGGAAGTCGTCGACGGTCGACCCCTTCGGGCGCTTCGACGACGACGCGGTCGCCGCGGCGCTGCGGAAGGCCAGGTAGTTCTTCGACGGCGACTTAGACGCGCGCGTCAGCGAGGGCGGCGCGAACCTCTCCTGCGGCGAGCGCCAGCTCCTCTGCTTCGCGCGCGTCCTGTTGCGGTCCGCGTGCGTCGTGCTCCTCGACGCGGACGCGGACGCGCAGGTCCGGGCGGTCATCCGCGCCGAGATCCGCGGCCGGTCGACCATGGTCGTCCTCGCCCACCGCATCAAGACCATCCGCCACGCGGACCTCGTCCTCGTCCTCGGCGACGGCCGCGTCGCCGAGTTCGGCGCGCCCGCGGACCTCGATACGCCTCAGAGCCCGCACCAGTCGTCCTCCATCTCCCCTCCGCCTTCTTCTTGGCAAGTACAAATTCAGGAAAGGTAGGCGCTCCGTTTCAGCCGCGGGTCGTCCGGCGACGCAATGGGCTCGTGGGCGCGCCTCCACCGCGCGAGGTCCGCCGACGTGAAGCGGAAATCGTCGACGAAGACCTGCGTGCGCGCGG